CGCTGCACCCCCCCCCTCCCTGGCGCGCGACGGCGCGCCAGGCGCGGCGCCCGGAGCGAGCCGCCGGGGGGGGCCCCCCAGCGCCGATCCGAGAAATCCGCGCGGACCTCTCCGGGTTTTTGACGTTTATGCCACTGCTTTGCTCCCCTAATCCCACGGGCATGCCGGCGGACCTCGCGGGCGCCAGACGCCCTGATATGGGGGCCACATATGCGAACCCTACCCCTACTACCCCCCACGATTTTTCCGAGGAGGGTGGGGTTCACTTCGTCCAGGAGCTCCCGAGCGAAGTGAACCCCACCCTCCCCCTCAGAGATCGTGTTGGGCGCCCGAGCTATCCGGGGTAACTCGGGTCCGGGGTAACTCGGGTTTGGGTCCCCGAAAAAGGAACCCGAGTTAGCCCTGACCCGAGTTACCCCTGATGATTCGGGGCTCTGACCCACCCTCCCCCTCAGAGATCGTGGGGGGTTGGGGTACACCCTGCGAAATGCTTAAGAAATCATGGGTTCAGAAATTCATGGTCTCAGAACTTGAATGAAAACCCAAAGATTCTATTCAGATCTTAGGATTTACATTGAAACGTTAAGAAGAATCGAGACTCTGGCCGAAAATTTAAGTTTTCTTAAGCATCGCCTAAGGTGTAGGGTTCGCATGTGGCCTCCGACTTACGCCTCGGCAGCCCCGGCGTGGGCCCTCCGCTCCCCGGCAGGCCCGCGCAGAGGCCGAGAGGCCCGCCGGGATCGCGGCCGCCCCGCCGCGGCGCCGAGCTGGGAGCCGGCCCGAGGCAAGAGAGCCGGGCACACACAGTCGGGGCGTTGACCTGAGGAACCCTAAATAAGGAGCCTCCTAGATGGGGTCCGAGTAGATGTGGTCGGAGGATCTCGCCGAATCGCTGATGCATCGGCGATGCACTGGCGACGTCGGCGGTGCATCGGCGACGTCGGCGTGGAGAAGATCGGGCCCCGAATGGAGCCGCATCGCCGATGCATCGCCGATGCATCGCCGATGCATCGGCGATGCGGCGAGATCCTCCGACCCCATCTACTCCGACCCCATCTAGGAGGCCAGGAGGAACGAGGCCCTTTTTTTCCATACGTTAACCTTCGATTTCCTGTCGAAAACATAAGGGAAGCCTGAGGCAAGCTGTGAAACACGTAAGGAACGCGGAGCCCCTCCCCAACGAGAAAGGGTTCCTTCTTCAGGGCCCCGACTGTGCGCCGCTGCTGGCCAGGACCATATCCTGAGCCCAGGATCGGTGCATGCGCCCTCTTTCCCCGGGCCAGGAAGGTACAGGGCTGAACCTAGACGGTGTTTTCCGTTTTCGTTTTGTGTTCGTTTTGCCTCGCTTGTCTCGAATCCGCCTTTACCGCAAAACGGCGTCGAAACGAAAACGGCCCACGAAATCACCAAACACACCGTTTAGGTCAAGCCCTGGGAAGGTACATACGCACCGATGCTGGGTCAAGAATGGGCTCTGTCGGGATCGGAGCATGTGCACGGTTCTCTTCGCCCGACCTCCCCCGACCCTCCTCCAATCAGCCCCCCTCTCGGCCTGCCCTCTCGCCCAGCGCCCGCGGCCCGCGTCGCAAGGGCCCCTCAGGTATTGGCGCGCTCCCCCTTCGGGGGGAGTTCAGAGCACCACGCCTCCCAGGCAGGCGGGACCACGTCGCAGGGGTGCGGAAGCCAGGAGACCACGTCTCCAAGGCAGGTGGGGTTCAGCCCGAGTTTGGTGGGTGACAAAAGGATAAAACAGAAAGAAGGAGACTGGACTCCCCTGAGATCTTATGTCTTTTTTGTTCAAGGTCCCAGGAAGTCTCGACCCATTCCCCAGGACAAGCTTTTCATCCTGTCCAGTTTCGGGGATCCTCTGACCCGGGACAATCCAGCCCCGGGTCAGTCAGGCCTTGCAGAATCCTGAAAAATCCTGCACCCAAACCCGGGTCAACGCGAAGGATCCTGCAAGATCCTGCAAGATCCTGCACCCAAACCCGGGTCAACGCGCCCCTGGCCCTGCAGGATCCAGCAAGATCTGGCGCTCTGGCTGACCCCCGTCTGCATTGACCCCCATCTCAAGGCTCCCGACAATTGTTTGACGGTCCCGGTGCCCGGCGAGGGCACCGGGAATTGCGAACAACCTCCGTCTTGACTTTTGTAGCTGCGTTGGATCTCTGGGACCCCCCCCTTGAGAGGCAACGAGAGCTGGGGATAGACATAGGGGGGGAAACATCGACCTCGAATGGGCGATACATACCTGATAGATCGGCGATAGGCCCCCGATAATGAATCCGCACTTTCATGGGCGTGCTTGGACTATCGGGCCCATGCCGGCGATCCATGGGCGATTGGGAGTCGATGTGTCCCCCCCTGTGCCTATCCCCCCCCTATCGTTGCCCCTGACCCCTCGGTTTCCACGCGACTTCTCCACACTCGCCACAGCCCGGCGCGCACCACGTGCCAACATAGAGGGGCGCGCCTCTCCCCGCGCGCGGCCAGGCCCAGGACCGTGGGGCGAGGCTGGGAGGGGGGGGGGTCACCAGAGCGGAGGGGCGGTGCAGGACGGGGGCGCAGCACGAGCACAGACAACCCGCATAGCAAGGAGGGACAAGCTTCCGGAGGGTACCCCTTGCATCCTTGCCTCCTCGGTCCACACTTCGCCACCCTCGTTGGCCGCGCCCCGCTCGAGAAGCTTCGATATGGGCGCCCATGGCCATTGCATCCTTATCGCGCATCCTCATGGTACGGGTACGGCTCGACTGCACGAGCGACAGTGACCACAAGGCCGCCAATACCGCCGAAGCCCCCCTAGATAGCCCCCCTTCCTGCGGTGGGCTCCTCAGGGAGGAGGAGGAGGAGGAGGAGGAGGAAGAGGAGGGGGAGGAGGATGGAGGAGAAGGAGGAAGAAGAGGAGGATGGAGAAGGAGGAGGGAGGAGGAGAAGGAGGAGGAGACCCGACCTTCCAGAACTACATCGACATGCTCCGCTCACACCAGACGCGCTACGAGATGTACATCAAAAGTCTCCACGACCATCCAGCGGGAAACCCTTTCAAAGCGCATGCGCCCAAGCAAAAGGTGAGACTATGCAGAACGCCACCATGACCCAAACCGACGAGCCGCAACGATACAGGACACACCGTGGTCTAAGCACACAACGGTAGCGCCCTACCACAACATTCACCTCTAGTACTCCTACCTCCTCTAGTGCCGCAGAAGAACATCAACTGAGCCCTCTCCCTAGTTGCACAGTGCACAGCCACGGTTACACAGGTGTCTCACGGATGCACCTTACATCTCATTGTCTCGCCGTCGCGCTGTCCGACACGCTGGTAACTCCTCACTCGCAACTAGTTGCAGGTTTGGGGCCCGCCATTACAGAACCCTGGGTCGCAGCCCGCGCATTGCTAGCTACACGTAAGGGACACGGTTGCAAGGCTCCCTCCTCTTCTACCCACCACACTGTGCGCACTTGCGCCCCCAACCACGGTACGACCCCACTCAAAGAGCTAAACGTGCCGTCTTTGTACGCTGCATGTTGGCCGCATCTTACGTCACGTGTTATACCTCCTTAGTCCGTCTTACTGCTGCTGGTGGTACGCCTCTCTGACATTCGACGGTTCGGGGTCAACCATACACCCCTGCCCAGAGCTCGGGCAACGTTTACGGCCATGCCACTTGCTTGCAAGCACAATCCGCGTCCTGGCACCCTGCCGTACATACAGCTCGCCTCACACTGTGCCTGCTGCGACGGTTTGGGGTCAATCAGAAAAGCCCTGCCCACAACACGGGCAAGGAAGGCTATACATACGTGCATCCATACTGGCTGATTGTTTGTCCCACAACAGTGCACGTGAGCAAACTGCCCACGTACGCGGTTTGGGGTACATGCTGCACACCTCTCCGCAGCAGTACTACCTGTCAGCCGCATTCCCAGATCTTTCTGGCCAGTACTTCGCTTACTCCTCATCGATACCTTCACTTGTGATACCTACACCCTCGGTGCGTTTGACATGGTGGCGGTACGCCTCTCTCAACCTCGACGGTTCGGGGTCAGCCAGGAACCCCAGCGCACTGCTCGGGCAATGTACGGCCATGCCATCTGCTAGCAATCGCAGTACGCTCTTAATCTGGCAACACGCCGTACGTATCGCTGCCTCTCTATTCCTGTTTGCTAAGATTCGGGGTCAACCAGCAACCCCCTGCACACAACATGCGCAACTATATGTAAAAATGCATATCGGCTGTCTTCCTGCTCGCCCAACAGCCGTACACGTGAGTTACTAGCCCCCGTCAGCGGTCACGGTGCACAAGCTGCATCCCTCTCTGCACCAGTAGTACATGTCAACCGCACGTTCTCTTTTGTTATGGCCCGTACCCCGCTCTCTCCTCTGATCGGCCTTACTGTTGCTGCGTACACCCTCCCGTTCGCTCGATTGTCTGATGGCACGCCCCTCTCAACCTCGACGGCTTGGGGTCAACCGAACACCCCTGCCCACAGCCCGGGCAACATTGTACGGTCATGCTATTGGCTGGCAGGCCTATCTCTGCCCCGGACCAGCCTAACATCTTGCGCCAGAGTACTTGATGAGAGTAAACAATACTTACTGAGACGCAGGCCAGCCTCAATGCCAGCCCAGCACGCAATTTATTAGTTCCCTCGAAACAACGATCCGTCCCCCTCCTCTCTTTACCACGGTTTGGGGTACACCAACAACCTGGGCAGCAACCCAATAAGTGCTATCCTACCACGGTTTGAGGTCAACCAATGCAGCAACCCAAAGACTGCTACAGCCAGCTTGTCTTTCCTATCTGCAGCCTGTTCCACTGTGCAATACGAAGTGGCACATGCTCTGAAACATGGACGGAAGGAGAGAGAAGCAGATGAAGGAGGAGGAGGAGGAGGGAGGAGGAGGAGGAGGGAGGAGGAGGAGGAGCAGGAGGAGGAGCAGGAGGAGGAGGAGATGGAGGAGGAGATGGGAGCCCCTCCTGGTCCCGATTTGGGGCCCAGAATCCTTCCAGCGCAGAGCCGCCCCGCCCACGGGCGCGGGGGGCAACTCCCACCACTGCTGCAGGATGTCCTCGGCTGCGCGCAAGAGTGACCCCAAGCACCAGGTCGCGTCTATCCTCCGACCTGCGCATTTTGGACGAACAATACAAAACATTCAAGAATGATCAAAACTAGTCCAACAGACCGAACCCTGACTATGTTTTTTTATATTTTCGGATTCCCTTCCTGTAGAGTGACAGGCCCGCCTTAACCCAAGCAAGAGTGACCTTTGGCGCACGGGCTAGATTTTTTTCTGGGGGGAGCAGAGGAGAACTGACATTCCAGCGAACACCTCCACAAGCGGCACGACGTAAGATATGAAATGCGAAACCCGCGGGAGGAACAGACATGCGGGCAATTCAAACAAACGAAAAAAACGGGAGACACGTGAACTGCTTGCCAGAGATGATGACCCCCCGTATAAAACACTAAGACATCGGAGCCACGTCCAATCGGGTCTCACGAAACGCCAATAGGAACAACGGATAGTGTATAACGCTCCTGGTGTTTCTCTTTGGGGCAGAAGGTTCCGTAACAACAAACATGCACTGTGCTTGCGCCGCCATTTGCAACGAAGTGGTGGACAAACATACCAGTGTACACCCTGCGAAATGCTCAAGAAATCATGGGTTAAGAAATTCACAGTCTCAGAAATTGAATAAAACCCAGAACTTCTATCAAAATCTTGGGATTTACATTGGAAAATTAAGAATAATCGAGACTCTGGACGAAAACTTAGGTTTTCTTAAGCATCGCCTAAGGTGTATAGTGGACGTGCTCTTGGCCCCGATGAAAAGGACCGCTTGGCGACCAACTCCAGGCGCGCACGCGAGCGCTTGGGGGGGGACCCCTGTGGGCCCACGCCAACGATCACTCAAGCGGAAGGTCATCCGTAACACGGGGGCGCGAGGAGCGAGGGGTGGTGGAGGGGGAAAGGCCTCTTAGAAGCAGGGGTGCTTCTAAGAAGCCTCCCCCCCTCCCCCTGCCACCTTTTGCGGGTGGTTGAGTCCGACCAGAGAAAGTACCGATACCGCTGCTCCCCGGTCCTCTCCTGGGGTGCCTTCTGACCAGAACTCCATGGCGAATCCAGCGGTGGCGACGAGAGCCTCCCCGGCGGCCCAAACAGGGGGGACCGAGGGAAGGGTGGCCGCGTATGGGTACCTTTTCCTCCTCTGACCTCCGGTCGTCCCCCTGTCCCCCCCCCTCTGCGCGTGGCCGATCTTACAGCGCGCCGATGTCCACGGAGCGGTGGCGCGCCAGCCCGGCCGGCGGGCTGGGCGGGCGGCAGGCGGGGCACCGGGCGACGGCGGCGCTGAAGGAGGCGCCGCAGCGGTCGCAGGAGAGGAGCACGGACTTCCGCCTCGCCAGCTCCTTCCTTGGGGGGGGGCTCTCCGATGAGCGACGATCGAAAACAGAGGGCAGAAGCTCCACCCCCAGAATAATCACCCCGACACGCGAAGCCGTTCCGTAAACGCGGCCACATAAAAAATCGAACAGGGCAGGGCTGTTCAGTAAACGCCCAGAGCCGGGTCCGGCGGGCTTTTCCTTCCTTAACAGAACGGATATTACGTGAGATTGCACAATTAGCGACCAGGTCGCTGCGACCTTACGCCGCGGCTGTCGCGGGCCGCTAGCGCGGCACGCTGCCTTGGCAACGAAGGCGCTTGCGCGCGACCTTGCGCGGGCATCTTACGCGCGCATGTCGGCGCAGACGACCCCGATTTCTTTTGCGTCGCTCGGATGGGGTCGGAGCAGTGCAAGGTGGCGGTCACCTGAAGAATGTCGGGGGCACGGTTCACAAAACAACTCCCGAATCTTCGGTTTCCGCTCCGCCTCGGCTCCGTTTGGCCCGTCGACTGTCCAGGCTTGCGCCCGCCGAAGGTATGAGGAAATTATCAAAAAGCAATCTGCTGGCCCGGCCAAAGGCCGGCTTTTTGAATACCCTCACCCTGGGTGATGCCGTGTCAACGTGACCCTGGATATTTCTAAATCATCATCCCGAATTGCGGCAATTTCGCGTCGTGTCGACCGGCGGCAGCCCCGCCACTGGCGTTCCACGTTGAACGCCGCCGGCGACCCAAAACCCGTCGATGTTGAACGATTTGACGCTTCAGAAACGACCGATCGTTAAAATCTTAACGATCCCCGCGTTGTCAGGAGCCAACGCCGGGGTCGACACGACACCAACCTGCCACACCTGGGGTCGGAGGATCGCGCCGCATCGCCGATGCATCTGCACGCACCGGCGGCGTCGGCGATGCATCTGCGCCATCGGCGTCACATCGGGCCGCGTCGTCGATGCATTTGCGATGCGGCGCGATCTACTCCGACCCCATCTGCTCGGACCCGATTGGCGAGGCCTAGACTCCTCCAGTCCGGGCGCGGCAGCTGCTGGTCGAGCAGCTCGCCCACCTCTCCGAGGAGGGCCAGGTCGAGACCACGGCGGCACTCCCTGGCGTTTCGCTGCTGGGGAGGCTTTTGGGAGACTTCTCGTCGCCACGGTTGGACCCGCTTCGAAAAACGCGGCTCAGAATGGACCCCACGAGGGTTCCGGGGACCGATGGTGAGCGGATTTGGCCTGCGCGGGAGAGCCGCCATCGTGTCTCAACTCAAGTGGCCCTCCTCCGAATCTGTTTTTCACGGTACACAGTTCAAGACGCCGTCCAAGTGTATGCGACGCGTTTCGGGAGCTCTCAGCCCCCCTTCGTCAGGCATGGACCCAATCTGCCGTCGCGTGGCGCAGGCAAATGGGGGAACAACGCCCGATCCGCGCAAGATCGGTCCCCAGGCCCCTCCAGTTTCCCACCCACGATCATCGTTCCAGTCTCGGGGCCCGTAGACGGCACCCAGAGGGCGACGAGGCAACGAGAGCCTGCCCAGACCCAGAAGCCTCGAAAACCTGCCCGCCTGTGCTGCTGGCCGGAGCCCGTATGCTGGACCCCCTCGGACCCCCCGGCCGGCTCCAGAATGGCCGTCTCCGTGCTGCTCTGGGCCTCCTCCGCACCTTGGACTCCAGGGCGAGGCGAGCCCGCTGCGGCTGCGCCTCCGCGCCGACGGCCGCCCAGGCCGCCTCCAGCCAGCGGCCCGCAGCCGCCAGCATCTGGGGCCCGAGGGGAGACGCCGCCTCTGGGGAGACCAGCAGATCGAGGGCGACGAGATCTATACACATCCGGTGCCGCAGGCATGGCCCATCCTGGGCCCACGAGCGGTGCGTGTGCCTCCCCGGCAGGGCCTGGGCCGGTGGACACGCACACATCTCGTCGCCCTACCCATCGGGGGGTCGTAGGACTCAGGTTCGTGACCGGCACCATGCCTATCCCTGCCTCTGAGGTGGACAAATCAAAAGTGGACGGCAAGCTTAAAGTTGTTTCATCCGAAACCGCGGCGGTCCTTAAGATCGGCATCGACGGGAGATGATGCCCATCATAGGGACAGGCGGAAATTTCAGGCCGGCAAATTCGGGAACTCGACTTGGCCTGACAGGCCCGTCAGGGAAATGACGGGACCCAATCTGAAATTTGGCAAATGCAGGCCAGGCCCGTAACAAAAACGACGGCGAACCGTGTCCAGGCAAACTCGAGCCTCTTGGCGCCCCGAAACAGACGCCGATACTGCAAATTACATCGGCGACTCCGCAAGGTGTGCTTCGCAACCGGTACCCTGCGCTGCTGGCGGGGACCTCGATCGAATTCTCTGCCGCGCCCCGAGGAGGCCCGACGAGGACAACGTCGTGTCCCCCATCGCAAACCACACCCTGGCGTAACCGTACCTTTTGCAGTCGCCCGTTATACTCCTGGACCTCTCCCGGGGTGCGCTCTGACCAGCATTTTTCGCGGCGAATCGGGCCGTGGCCACGCCTCCCAGGAGGCCCAACACGGCGAGAACGCGGCAGGGGCACCCGCATCGGCGCCCTTCCCTCCTCTGAGCCTCCGCCCGGGCGAGCGCTCTGGCCCGCTCGTCCCTGTCGCTGCCGCCGCCGGCAAGCGAGGGCAGCGCGGCCGCGATGGCGGCGGCCCTCTCCACGGCCTGCCTCGCCAGGGACGTGGCGAAGATCGCGCCCAGGAGCTCCGGCCCGACGGCGGCAGCTGCCCGCAGGCCTGCCCCGCCGCCCCGCCCCGCTGCCCTCTCTCTGCGGGCCTCCTTGCCGGCCTCCGCCGCCTCGCCCCTTCTCCCGGCGCCCCTCGTCCTCCCTCTGCCCCCCGCCTCCCCCACGCCCCCCCTCTGCCACCCCCGCCCCCCCTCCCCCGCCTGCCCCAGGCCCCCGCCTCCGCAAGTCCCTTCCCCTGCCACTCTCCCTCCGCACCTCCTCCCCACATTCCGCCTCCCCCTCCGCTTGCCCATCTTGATGCTCTCCTCCTCCTCCGCCTCCTCCTCCTCCAGATGTTCCCCACCTTCCCCTTGGTCCTCCAGATGCTCCCCATCCTTCTCTTCCACCGTATGCTAATCCACTTGTTGTCCAAGTGCTAGTCCTTCTCCTGCTCCTCCTCCGAATTTTCCCTCAAAATTCCCCTCCTCTTCTACCACCGCCCGTCCTCCTCGTCCGCCTGGCCCGAATCATCATTCCCCTCACCCGTCCCCCTTATCACCCTCCTCCCTCCCCTCCCTTCCACCCCCTCCTTCTCTCGCATCGTCTCCTCCCCTCTCCTCCCCCTCCTTCTCCGTGCCCCCCTCCTCCTAATCCCCCACCCCGCACTCCCCCACTCCTCTCCCCCCCCTCCGCTCTCCCGCCCCCCCTCCTCCTCCTCCCGTGCTCCTTCTTCCTCACTCTCCTCCCGACAGGCAGCAGGTGTAATTCTCCGCCTCCTCCTTCTCCTCTCCCCTCCCTCCACCCGCCCTCCCCTCCTCCCTCGCAGCGCGACCCTCACGCTCATAACGATCCCCTCCTTCCCCCCTTGCCTCGGGTCGGGCGAAAGGGGGGGATAGCAAAGGAGGGGTTTGAGAATCAGCTCACGTAGCTGATTTTCCCGGCGCCTCCCGGCGCCGGAGGCGGCAATGTATAGAGGAATGGGCCACTCGGTGGGGCCGAAACCAGCTGCACGCAACAGATTTCGTAACCCCCCCTTTCCCAATCCCCCCCTTTCGTCCGCCCCGATTCCCTCCCTCCCCCCGACAGTTGCGAGGTCTCGGAGACTCATGCGATTGATATGTGAAGCCCCACCGTCGTGATTAGCTCAATCGGTTGACGGCGGGCCTGTGGCCGAAGCAGCTCAGCCAGGCTGAGCAGCGTCACCGCGGTTCTCAATCATTTTCTTCAGCTCGAAGCTCGAAGCTCCCTCGCAGCGCCGTCCTGCTGCCCCTGGCGGGCAAGAAGACCACATCGGGGCTTCCGGCGGCGGCGTTGTCGCCGATGGGACCCTTTCACGATGTGGATGATGTGGATTTAGAAAGCAGCGACGACGCTCGTGCTCATCATGGATCATTTTTGGGCTACTTTTGGGATATTTTTTGCTTTTCGTCGATAGTCCCCCTGTAGGGGGGACAGGCCCGACTTCACAATAGACCTCCCACGAGAAACCCCGCCCCGAGAGCCCAGGATGCCTGTCTACTTTTGGCGCGGGAAGGTCGCGCCTTCCAGAGCAAGACCCTCGAGACCCAAGAAGCCTGGGGCACCCTGGAGGCAAGGAGGGCGTCTCTTGGCATGGGCCTCCACTGCACCCCTCCTGCAGCCGCCAAGGATGGTGAGAGCAACGGCGGCGACGAGGAGGACGGCGACAGGGACGACGACGACGACCAGGGCGACGACGGCGACGACGACCCCCGCGGGCGGACCACCACAGATGGCTCGGTCGGGCGGGTCGGGCGGGAAAACACGGACGAGCGGGTCCGACGGGCCGGACGGGTGGGCCCTCAAGGGCGGGTCGGGCGGGCGGGCCCTCACGGGGCGGGCGGGTCGGGCGGCCGCTCGGCGAGTTGCCCTGGGCAGCGGTTTTGCCCTCAGGCTCATCACGAAGGTGATCAAATAGCGCAAAGCGTGTCCCGCCACTGGTGTCCCGACAAATATAACCATCGATGGTGCGATGCAAAACACGTGTGTGTGTGTGTGTGTGTGTGTTTGTGTCTGTGTGTGTGCGAGTGTATGTGTGTGTGCGAGTGCGAGTGCGTGTGTGTGCGTGTGTGCGTGTGTGTGTGTGTGTGTGTTTGTGTGTGTGTGCGAGTGAATGTGTGTGTGTGTGTGTGTGTGTGTGTCTGTCCCTGGCTTCTGAGTGGGCCATCTGCGCTCCCGCTTGCCCCGCCTCCCGACCTTCTACACCTCGACGCTACGCGCGAGGCCGCGACGCAAACATGTGCGCGCGAGTGTGAGTGTGAATGTGAGCGCGCGTGTTTGAATACGTGTGTGCGTGTGCGTGAATGGTGCGTGGTAGATGTTGTGCGTGGTGTGTGTTGTGTGGTGTGTCGTGTGTGGCGTGTGTGTGTGTGTGTGTTGTGTTCGTGTGTGGTGTGCCGTGCGTGGTGTGCTCTGTGTCGTGTGCTGCATGTTGTGTGTTGGGTGTCGGCTGTTGCGTTGTGTGTGTTTTTGTGTGTGCGTCCTGAGACCTGCAACCCGCTAGAAGTGGGGCGTGCCGTCTGTCGGATGCAATGTGGCAATGTGCTGCGCACCCCTCCCTCCGCCTCTCGTCCATCGTCTCTCCTCCCACATCATCGTACTGGGCCTGATCGTCCTCCATGTCCTGGGCGCGGAACATATCACAGAAGGCGTCTCGGGAGGGAGAGCAAGGGCGCATGCCCGTCGTGAACCAAGAGTGCCCAGACTCTCGGTTCCCGTTCTTAAGTAAGATATGTGTAGGCATTGAGCGATTGGTGGTGCGCGTTTTGCTTCATTTGCCTACGCGTGCATCGCCATGCAACTGGCAAGAACACACCAGAGGGCAGACTGGTCAAATACGGGCGGAAAGGTTGCATTTGGAAGAGGCGCCCGACGAACAGTGAAAAACACATCACTCACATCAGTACTATGCGTACCGCACCTCGCTCCCTCTCTCACAATTTCATCATCTCCAAGGCGCAGCTGGCTGGAAAAGAAGACAGCGCATGGACTTCCTCGAACGTTTACCACGCCTGTGTGAAGAGCTGTTTCTGACATCTTCCCCGAACTTTGACCAAAGAAGGGGATATTATATATCTGTATCGAATCTTCATCGGAGAACCGCATCGCCGAGGTGCAGATGTAGAAGGGAAGGAATCTAGAGTCCGAGGGGCGTCTCGGAGCTAAGGAGACGTGGGAATACATTGCGCAGGACAAGTCGATGCTCGACGCCTGTTGCGCTGGAGAACAACGACCGTCAGGCGTCGACATGCAAACGTACCTCTGCGTACAGGCGGCGACTGTCCCTGTTGGACTCGCACGCAGAGTCCTGCACGGCGTCGGCTCTCAGGCTTCCACTAATCCTGCAGTGCGTCCGCGCGCAAATGGTCCACAGTGCCAAGGTAAGTGTGTGTGTGTGTTTGTGTGCGCGCACGCGTGTGCCCATCTTGCTTCGCAATCGAATCGGTTTTGCTGTGTCTTCGTAAGACCAAGATCGTGTTTTCTAGCTCGCTCAATACATGCGTTTTCAAAGCAGAAGACAGACACATACTTACGCATTAAAACAACATGCAACGACGTCCACCGAACTATTCCGCCAAGATTTCATATATTTCTTGAGTGGCGAGCCGATCATATTGCATTCCTGTCAGCCCGTGCGAAGCCATGACTGCCCCCCGACGCATCGAGCTCTGCATATAACCGCGTCTTGGTAAGGCCCAATGTTCTTGATCTTCCGCACGAAACGCTGAAGAAACATAAGCTATTCTTATGGACCTCCCATCATCGATCCGCGATCGACCCTCGATGCTCGAGATCCTCGATCCTCGATCCTCCCGACTCTGCCGCGCACCCAGAGAGGACGCCCCTCTCCCCCCCGCGGCGCGGACGCGGAGAAATCACGCGCAATGACCCGCCGGCGGACGGGCGGACCATGGCGAAAGACAGCAGGGAGAGTGACTCACTACCCACCAGACCACCCAAACCAAACCCGAATACCCAAATTTCGAGTTGGGGGGAGGACGGGTTCCACGTGTGTTTCTTCAATGTTCCACTACCCCCCCCTCCCCTAGTGGGAACGGAGGGCAAATTGGTGCCTTCGGGCGGGGATGGGGTGGTTGGGTGGGTGGTGGGTGACGACTTTAGGAGCCCTCACGCAGCAGAAGACGAAGACATGCGATGCCTTGATTTTTCAATACGGGGTCCCCAGATGTCCCGACCCTTTCCCCAGGGCCGGTTTCCCATCCCGACTCATGGTTTGACGGTCCTGGGGCCCAGCGAAGGCCTCCAAAGGCCGAAAACGGCTCAACCTCCCGTCGAACTGATTTTTCTCTCACCATCCGAGCACGTCTGGGGACCGAGCTCACAGGCTTCGATGAACACGACTCGCGCACACATACGCACGGCGCTTCCCCCCCCCCCCCCCCTCCCGCGGAGGCGGCTGCCAGGTCGCGGGGCTCCAGGCCTGCGAGGGGGCGCCAGCTGAGCACCATGACGCAGATTGCGCAGCCCAAGCTTTGGCTTTCCCAGGGCAGGAGGACCACACTCATCATCAGATGAGCCCGAGCTTTGGTTCTCACAGGGCAGGAGGACCACGCTCATCAGAAGCACCCTAACAGGCGAAGCCCTGTAACAGCAAACTCACCCAGAGGAGTAATGGAACAGGGCAGGACTGAATTGGTGAAGGCCCAGGGCTGTGTGACTCATGATGGCAGCCGGGATGGCTTTCCCTCCCTCGATGTCTCGCTGTTTTCGTTCTACCTCGCTCCGGTTTCGTTTTTCCCCTTTGCAGCAGAACTGCATCCCAAAGACAAGCGGTTCACGACACTGCACAGCAGAGCTGTTGAGACACATAGCCCCGACTCCGAAGACACCGCTCCAGGCCAGGCCCACTCCGGGCCCACGGTCGGTGTGCGCGCCACTCCCCGGCCGCATGGCGCCTCGAAGAAAACCGGGCTCCTCCTCCTCCTCCTCTTCCTCCGCCTCCTCTTCCTCCTCCTCCTCCTCCTCCTCCTCTTCCTCCGCCTCCTCTTCGTCCTCCTCCTCTTCCTCCTCCTCCTCTTCCTCCTCCTCTTCCTCCTCCTCCTCCTCTTCCTCCTCCTCCTCTTCCTCCTCCGCATCCTCCTCCTCCTCCTCTTCCTCCTCCTCCTCCTCCTCATCCTCCTCCTGCTCCTCCTACTCCTCCTCGGTGTCACAAAGGCCGGGAGTGGTAAACTGGCCGTGGGGGGGACGAAGGATGCATGGGCCCACGCATGGAAAACATCAGGGCTCCGGATGTCTGGGCCCGACTTGGCCAGGAGCCACGTACTCCGATCCTGCAAACGCAGCACGCCAAGATATCGGTGTCACAAATAAGGCAGTTGATTGTATAATCGCGACTGGAGCACTCGACTCTATGTCTGCTCTGTCTATATAGCTCATCGAGCTAGACACAGCACTTGTGTCTTAGACAAGGAGAACAAAACCTTTCGTGACCTTCCTTCGCGACGGCCTGGCAGGGGTTGGCGTCCCCCGAAAGGTGAGGGGCATTAAGTATACCGCTTCTGCTACTCCCCAGACGCCTCCCTCCCCGAGGGGTGAACTGACCTGAGCTTCGCGGCGAACCCAGCCGTGGCGACGAGGGCCGAGAGGGGGGCCATCAAGGCGCAGACGAGAGGGAAGGGCATCGGCATCGGTGCCCTGTTCTCCTTCGGGTAAGGATTGGCCCACGGTCCATGGTCCAACTGCCCCGCTGCAAGGGCACGGGCAACACGAGCGATCAACGCACCCTGCATGGGTTCAAAGCAAGCGAAGCGATACGTTGCGTGGGGGGCAAGGCCAATGCCATCCTGGGCCCTGGCAAGGCGTTTACCACACTCGCCCGCAGGGCCGAGGCCAGGAAAGCCTACACACTCTCGGAGCCCGGGATGCCCCCAGCCAGGCACGGTGGTGTCGACCCACACCTCCAGAATCGTGTTTCTGTGTCGCAGCGCCGACCCGCGGGGCTCAGACCACTTCTCCAAAACAACATGTTTCAACCCGAATCGCTTTTTGACGGCCCCGGGGCCTGGCAATTGGGACCCCACAAATACCGATACAGCTACTCCGAAGACCTCTCCCGGGTGCCTTTGACCAGAGTGTCGAGGCGAATCCAGCCGTAGCGACGTGGGCCTCCCCGGAGGCCCCCAAAGGCGAGAACGTTGAAGGGCATCGGCAACGGTACTCTTATCCCCCTCTGATGTAAAGGGTCCCCCCAGAGGCTGAGCGTCGCCAACGAACCACATCCATGGCGCACTCCCTTCGCAGCGCGAGGAGGTCTGGACATGAGCATCGTTTCACCGAACCCCACTAGCACGGCCTTGACCCTATTGACCGTTTTGCCCCCCTGGATGGGGATATGTGCTGCTCGCTCTCGGTTTCACGAAGCCTATCCTCACCTGGGGGGCGGGTGGGCTGGCGGGCCTGAGATACCACGGGCTATCGGGGTGGGTATCGTTTGAATGATGCTGAGGTACGAGAACGGTGCCCATGCATCGCACCATGTCTGGACTCCCCTCAGGCCTCTTCTGCTCCAACGCGGTGCGGCGCTTCGGCGCGGAGGTCCAAACAACTATACACCGTACCCTTCCCGAGTCGACGATGGCAGAAGCCTCCCAACGCGGATGGGGGCAGGTGCCCTGAATGGATTTGAACCCCAGGAGTGGGGACGGGAAACACATGAACACGATGCCCATCAGCAGTGCCTGCTTATCTAGAATAGGAGACGCTATTCTTCGCAATGTCAGGGCGTTGACCTAGGACCGATAAATACTGAGCGAAACACCTCATGCACCAACTATATCCATGAAATCTGAAAGAAAGGCCGGGCCCCTTTCTAGCGGCGTCCCGCCATGATTTGCCTTCGCGATTGCAGTCCCACCCCTTCTGCCAAAACACCGAGGAACGCCCGCTCCCCCTCCCCCGACGCTCCAACATCGAACGCGGAAGCGCGGCCCGTGAGCAAGGCGTGATGAAGCACGCCGGACGCCGTACCCCAACGCGCGCGCACGGCAGCACGCTCCCCTCCGACGGTCAGAACAAAAGACCGGGAACGGCAAGGGCCTTCGCGCTGCCACGGGCCCTGCGCAAGACGTCAAGGCCAGCTCACCTCCCGACCTCCAGGCCGCAAGGAACGCCAGGGCTCGCTCGCCATCGCGCGGACGTCCATTCCTTGTGTTTTTTTTCGGTTTCGATCGTGGTTTTTTCGCCAAGTGATCAAGAATGCTCCTCGATGGTCCTCGCCGAGGAAAAGACGCACACGTCCGAGCGATGCCAAGAGGGGGCTCGGGCGGGGGACTGGGCCTCCACGCGCCCACTGTCCAATTTTCGCTGACGCACAGGGGGCCCCAAGCCGCACCGCGTGCCAGCAGCCCAGGGCTTCGCGCAGGGGACCGGGCATGTACGCGACCCCTTTCCCATGTGGCCACGCTGCAGGCAGCATTGATTGACTGCACAGGGCACGCGACAAGACACCAAACCTTTTCCCGACGCCACACAGGACACAACGGAACGGAACGGAACGGAACGGAACGGAACGCCTGTGCGGGCATGTGCCCGGGCCCCTGAAGGGCGGGGCGGGCGAGGCCATGGCCTCGCATGAGAAGCTGCGCGCGTCGGGGGGCCACACAGGACACAAAAGGTATTCAAAGGACCGCGCGACCAGTTGGATACCCGTGGCGGCCCATGGTGTCCTGTCCAACGAGCGCCCCCGACCCGCGCCCACCAAGGGCCCACTGTAATGTCCAGGCCGCGCGCGCGCACGTGCATCGAACCTTCATGCAAGCGGTGAGCACGTGATGGAGTCGTTCGAAATCCGATCGGTAACCGCTGAATGGCCACTTTACTTTTCCAAGCCCACATGGCGACTTCTGTTTTGTGGCCGCCATCGCCACGCGCGGCCGCGCGCGCGCGCGCGTGCAAGCGTCGCACGCTGATCCAAGCGATGAGCACGTGATGGAGCCCATGCTATATTCGAAATCCAACCGGTCACCGCTGAGGGTCCACTTCGTTCTTCGAACCAACAAGGCAACTTCTGTAGTGTGGGCAAAACAAACATCACCACGCGCGGCGCCGCGTGTGCGCGCCGGACGCTGATCCAACTTATGAACACGTGATGAGGCCATGCAATCTTGGGAATTCCCACCGACCACTGCAAGGGGCTTACTTTGGTGTTCTGGCCAGCCCGGCGACCTGCAGCCACGCGCGCGCGTTTGCGCGTTGTACGTTGCGCCGTGAAACGGGCACGTGGACGCCCCATGTTCACGTGGAAATCCAATCGACCACAGCTGGGGACCACTTTAGTTTCCAGGCCAACATGGAGGCTGTCCTCATGCAACCAATCATAAAAAAAACACCACGCGCGAGCGCGCGCGCACCCGTCTGCACGCGGTACGCTGCGTCACTAGCTGGGCACGTAGAAACCCCACGCTAACTCGGAAATCTCACCGGCCACCGCTATGGGTCACTTCAGCCTCTGGGCCAACATGGAGGCTGCCCGCTTGCAAACAATATGAAACCACCACGCGCGAGCGCGCGCGCGCGCGTCTTGGCGATGTACGCTGCGCCAGTAGACGGGCACGCAGAGGCCCCGGGTTAACTTGAAGAACACAATCGGTTACGGCTCAGATCTCACTTTGGTTTTAAGACTAATCTGGAGGCTGTCCGTTCGCAAACGCCCAGAAGCCATCGCGCGCGGGGGGGGCGCGCGCGCGTGCGCGCGCCTGCGCTCGGTACGCTGCGCCAGTGGACGGGCAAGCAGAGGCCCCATGTTAGTTTGGGGCTCTCTCGCCGCCCACCGCTGAGGGGTCGCTTTCGCTCCCAGGCGAATCGCGTGGAGGCGGTCCGATTGCAAGCGATGAGAAACCGCCACGCGCACGCGCATCGGCGCGTTGCACGCTGCGCCAAGAGAGGGGGGCGCAGAAGCCCCATGCTGGCTGAGAAATCCCATCGATGACTGCTCCGGGGCCAATTCAATTTCCGGGCCAACATGGAGGCTGTCCTATCACAAACGATCAAGAACCGCCATGCACGAGCGCGCGCGCGCGCGTCTGCGCGTCGAACGCTGCGCAAACAATTTCGCACGTGGAGGCCCCATGTCAATTTGGAGGTCCAATCGGCAACCGCGAAGGGCCCCAACGCGGAGGCCGTCCCATTCAACTAGCGGGAACCACCACGCGCGAGCTCGCCGGCACGCGTCTGCGCGTTGTGCGCTGCGCCGAAAAACGGGCACGTTGAGGGCCCACGCAACCGTGGAAATCTTTGCGGCCACCGCTGCAGGCTCACTTTAGATTCCAGACCAACATAGGGGCCGTCCGCTTGCCAGCGCGCAAAGGCCACCACGCGCGAGCGCGTCTGCACGTGGTACGCTGCGCCAGTGGCCGGGCACGCAAAAGGCCCCACATGAACTAAGTGGAACCTCTCGTCGCCACATAAACTAAGTGGAACCTCGTCGTCGGTTCACTTTATTTCCAGGCCGATATCGAGGCTGTCCCAATGCAAACACTCAGTAACCACCACGCGCGAGCGCGCGCGCGTCTGCGCTCTGTACGCGGTGCCAGTAGACGGGCACGCAGAGGCCCCATGTTAGCTCGAGAACCCCATCGACCACAGCCACTGTTCTCATCCCAGTTCCCAGGCCAGCACGGAGGCTGTCCGATTGCAAACAATCTGAAACCACACCGCGCGCGCACCTGCGCGCTGCATGCTGCGCCAATAGGCGGGAACGTAGAGGCCCCATGTTCAGTTTAGTACCCAAGCCAACATAGAGGCCGTCCTATTGCAAACAACCAAAAACCACCACGCGCGAACGCGCGCGTCTGCGTGTTGTACGCTGCGCCCAAACAGGCACGTAGAGGCCCCATGATCACTTCGACATCCCATCGAACACTGCTATGGACCCACGCTAGTTTCCAATCCGACATGCAGGCTGTCCTATTGCGAACGCTCCGAAACCACCACGCGCGCGCGCGCCTGCGTTCGTATTTCCCATCAGTTCTCGGATAGGTCACCCGAAAGCTGGTTGAAACATACCAACTGTTTGACTTGCATTCTGGGCCTCGACATGAGCTGGTCTATTCGTAATCACACGCTTCCCGGAGGTAGCACGCACCGCGCAGGTGACCCACCAGCGGGTGGGTAGTCCGAGAACTGGTTGTGAAAAAGCAACTGTTTCATTTACATTCGGGGCCTCAACATGAGTTGGCGCATTCGTGCTCGATGCGATTCCCCTGTGCAGCGCGCGCTGCACGAGCGACTTTCGTCGCCACGTGCGGGGGGGGTCCTGGAATTCTCAACGAAGCCGGTTGCCACGCGGATCCCGTCGGGACCTCGCGGCTCGCTGGGGGCTGCGAATTGCGCAACCGTCTCCACTGTCGCGGGCCCATGGGGGGTCCAATGGAGTCGGTTGCCACGAGGATCCCGTCGGGAACTCGCGGATCCCTGGGGACAGCGAACTGCGCAACTGTCGCCGCGTTCGTGGGCTCATGGGAGGTACAACGGCGTCGGTTGCCACGCGTGTCCCATCGTTGTTTCTGATTACAGTACCTTCGCAGCCGTGCCCCTTTGTCTCCACTTATTCGGGATTATTGTTGCTCTCTTTGTCGCGCCCTTACATCTCCACTTTGTTGGGCTTCTCGTTGCTGTCGCCGCCACGTCTTTTCGTCTCCACTTTTGGATCCCTCTGGTTGCCCTCGCCGCCGTGCCCTTTTGTCGCACCGTTTTGGGTTTTCTCGTTGCTTTCGCTTCCGCGCTCTTCTGAATTGTCTTCTGTACGCTTCTGCGCAGTGGGACTCTTTTACATGTTCGCTTTACGTGTGCGGTCTTGGGTATAACCGCCACCTGTTGAGAAAGGGTTGGGTACGTCCCCGGGTAATTCGCTTCTGATGACCTGCCAAAGCATCAATATGGCTCCAAGATGGCTCGAGCAGGGCTCGAAAGGATGCTCATGTGGGCGCCAAGTGGGCTCGAAGAGCGCCCAACAGCGGAACAGCGTGCCAAACAGCGATTTCGGGAGCTCCCAAGGGGCCCAGGCTAAGAAAGACCCCACTTTCGTTGATCGATTGCCTCCAAAGAGCCCCCCCGAAGCCCACAAGAGGGCGCCGAAAAAAACTGAAGACGCGCCCAGTAGCCGCCAAGAGGCGCCCTTGAGGCTCCCAAGAAGCACCCAAATGACCTTTAGGACCCCCCGAGACGCCAAACACGCCATAAAAGGCGCACGGGTCCGCCAAGGGGCACCCAAAACGCCCCAGGAGGACTGCGCGTGTTCGAACATGGGCTGCACGCGTCATTCATGTGCAGGTTGTGCTCAGTTGCGTCCATCAAGGAGCTGATAGGGCCCAAAAGATGACACAGAAAACTTCCCAGAAGGCGCGACGGGGTTCTGAGAAGCGCCGCCGCCCTCTGAGAGCCCCCCCTCGCTCGCCGCCGATCCACGGAAACAAAACAGTGCGGTTGGGCATCCTGCCTGCACGCTCCGCCCCCACGCCAGGCGTGCAGGGGGGATCGGGGGCGGCCAAGAGGGGGGGCGTCCAAGAAGGGGGGGGGGGGGCGCAAATCGTGGCCGGCGGCACGTGCGCGGCCCATTTGGGGGCCCGCGCCCTCGGGGAGGGGGAGGAGGAGGAGGAGGAGGAGGAGGAGGAGGAGGAGGAGGAGGAGGAGGAGGAGGAGGAGGAGGAGGAGGAGGAGGAGGAGGAGGAGGAGGAGGAGGAGTAGGAGGAGGAGGAGGAGGAGGAGGAGGAAAAGGAGGAGGAGGAGGAGGAGGGGGAGGGGGCCCCCGAGCAGTGCTTGGCGCCCGCCTGCGGGCCTAGCGCTCGGGCCAACAGCTCGGGCACCCACGAGCCGTCTGGCCGCTGCAGCGCCGCCACGGCCAGCAGCGCCGCGGGCGCGCTCGGCCTCCCCACGGGCGCCTCCGCCGCGGGGGCGCCTCCGAGCCAAGGCCGGCCGCCGCCGCCGCAGTGTCGCCGTCGTCGACGCCGCCGCCGCCTCCGGCCTCCACCGTTGCCGCCGTCGTCGTCGCCGTCGCCGCCGCCGTTGCTGAAGTCGTCGTCGTCGTCGTCGTCGCAGCCGTCGCGGTAGTGGTAGTGGTGGTCGTCGGCGTCAGAGGAGGAAGGCGGGGTGGTGGTGGTGGTCGTCGGCGCCGGAGGGGGGAGGAAAACGGGGAAGAAGACGACAGAAGGGGGGGAGATGGGATGACGGCGGGCGGCAGGAAGGATGGAGAAAGAGTTGGACGGAGGGAGAGAGCGAGAGAAACAATTTGACACAACTAAACAAAAGTGTTCGCCAGCGCAGGTCCGAAACACTGAGTCATTGCACCATTGGTTTCCCAGCGACATGGTACAATATATGTGGTGCGAGCTGTGCCGCATGATGTTCAGTTGAATGGATGATGTTCGAACTGTTCAGTCAAACGCCATGTTGTGCAAACTACGCAATGGAAGGACCGTCGTGGTTCAAGCTGCGCGATGTAACTGATGTAGTGTTAGTGAAGCCGCGTGGCGTTTGTAGCACAAGCCACGTTGTGTAAACTATATATTGGACAGGCTACGTGGTGCAAGCGAATGGGTGCAAACAGCGTGCTTCATTCAAGTGGTGGTGCAAAGTATGTGGTGCAGGCTGCGTGTTGGAAACTACGTGGCGCAATGTGTTGGGAAAGACTTGGACTTGACAACTCAACTGCTTGAGCAATCGCCCCACTCTCCCACCAGCAAGTTGTTCGGCAAAACCCATTCGGCCACGATTGCGGTTGATACTTGCGGCTGGTTGGCGTACCTCTGCGACCGCACATGCGCGAGCAAGCTGGCACGCAGAGCGACCAGCTCGTTTGGCACAAGTGCTGCGGCCGCACTGGCGATTGCCAGTGGGTTTTGGCAGCGCGCGCTGGCGCTCAAGCACTTCGGCGCGGGTCAACACTCGGGCGGGTACGATATCATGATGACGCCGACAACGGTGGCAACGATGATGATGGTAGCGATGGTGGCGGCGATGATGACGATGACGACGGCAAAATCAAAGATGGCGCCGGAACTGGTGACGACGATGACGACGATGATGTCCATGTGTCGATGTTGAAAGTGCTTGACCGATGACGGCGGCAATGGCTGCGATCGACGATGACGGTGACGGCGGTGATGCGGCGGCCCCGATGCAGGTGATGGTGAGGAAGTGTGCGCACACAACAATTCGACAGGCGTGGCAAACGTTTACTGGAACAGTACGTGTTTGGGCGCATGCGTTGGAAGAGCTCTATCTTGATATTATTCGAAAGCCGGTGGATTTCGGAATGGTTCCGGCGCGTGCGCGCGTGGCGGTCAGCGCGCGTGGCCTGCATGGATCCTTAACTGCGGGTGCGTGCACTGCGCGCGTGCTGGGTCGTCGCATGTGCACCGCGTGGTGAGATGACCATTCCGGACCTGGACCACTTTGCTCAGACCAGATGGGCGCCACAGGGTTTCAGCAAGTGTGCGCGGACAGAAGATCTGCCAGATCTGTTGAGGAAGAGCTTGCTAATTTGTCTTGCAAATGTTTGGGACCCGATGCGTGCGGAATGATTTTGACATTTGCGCGTGCGCGAGTGCTTTGTAATCCGCCACCGTGCCCTGGGGCACGGGTTGGAGTGTCCTCGCGTAAAGGTTGCAAAGAGGTAGGCGCGCTGGTGGCCTTGCCTCTGCCGGCGCGCCAGTAGCGCGCAGTCCCTGATTCGTTGAATAATTAAGCCGAAAGGGGCCGCCACGGCCAAGCCTGGCCACAGGCAGCAGGTCAGGCGGCAAGCGGCAGGCAGCAGTGTCCTCGCGTCCCTTCGAGCCCCCTGCGTTTTTGAATATATTCCTTGAGAGGTCACAGCCCAAGAATTCCGGGCGCTGCGGGGCGCGCGTGCCTCTACGGGAGGCCAAGAGCGCGCTGCTCGGGACATGCATGTCCAACATGGTTCCCGATGGCCCCGGGGACCGCCCTGCAACCCTCTTGTCAAAATCCATGCGTGTCTTAATTGCTTTCGTATTGCCATCTTTTCGACCTTCCGAGCGTCTAAAGGACGGCCCAAGAGGCGCCCAAGATCGCCCCAAACCAGCTCGAGAAAGGGAGACACAAACTGCTATCTTGAGCCCTCCGCCCAGAGATGACCCCAAGATGCCTAGAGAAGCCCCCAAGGTGCGCCCAAGAGGCCCCAAGAGGCCCGCAAGAGCCCCCGAGAGGCCCAAATCAAGCCCCAAGAGGCCCCAAAGATGCCAAGACACCAAATGAATCGTCACGAAAAGGCATCCGAGAGGTCATCCAAGAGATCATCACAGGTATGCAAAAAGCCTCTGACCTACAACCCAGGCACGTTGGCGGGATGGGCCGAAGGCCACTATAGTGATATGCCTCTCTCTCTCTCTCTCTCTCTCTATATATATACAGCCTGCTGCAGCAAATTACAAGTGTAACATTATCTCTCGGAATCGTTAAACGAATGCGCGCGCATCGCACGACTTAAACCAGATGAAGGAGGGATCGATTCCGGCAGGCTGGAAAACTTTGATCTCGTGACGAGAATGAGCGATGAGGCTGAATAGCGTGGCATTTGAAGCGTGCCACGGTTAAGTCTGGGTTCGGGAGGGGGTGGAATCGACCCTTCATTCCGAGAAGAAAACTGATGCGGTGCAAGCTGTGGTAAGCGAAGTGAGGTCCAAACTGCGTGATGCAATGTATGCAGTGGAATGTAAACTACGTATCAGGAAAAAAAAAACGAGTTTAACATGTTGGCGCTCAGCGCGGATTTCTTGGATCTGCGCTGGGCCCCCCTCCCTGGCGCGCGAAGCGCGCCAGGGGCCACTGGAGGCGACGCCGGGGGGTCCCGGCGCGGATCCGAGAAATCCGCGCGGAGCGCCAACAGTTTATGATTATACCAGCTCCCTTCTTCGAGTAATAAACGCTACGTATCATGTTAGGTCGGGCGTGTCCTCCGAATTGTTGGACGACGAATTACAACATAGTGTGCACACATGCTCAAGCATGGTCAAAAAACAACGGAAACATCGTCCCCAGACAAACTATGTTTTATTCCCCAATCAGTGCTTGCACTGAATGGTTCCTCGCGGATGTTGAAGGATTTGGCGAAAATGTCCCGCCGATTTTGGTCGCACGCTGGGTTGCGGGGTTCCTGGGTTCCCGGTTCCGGGTTCCCGGGTTCCTGGTTGCGGGTTCAGGGCCGACTTCGGAGGGCGGCGAGGTTCCCGGGTTCCCGGATTCTTGGTCGATCTTCTTATCGATCGGTCTCACCATCGATCTCATTACCGACTTCTCGATCGATCTCACCATCGATCTCACAATCGATCTCACTATCAGTCTCACAAGATATCTCACTAGAGATTGCATAGCGATCTCGCGATCGATCTCACTATCGATCTCATTGAATCGATTTCACTCTCGGTCTCACGATCGACCTTACAATCGTCCTCACTATCGATTCCACTATCGATCTCATTATTGATCTCACAATCGATCTCAAGATCCATAGTATCAATTTTGAAATCATCCACTGATTTGGGTTTTCTCAGATGTACTTATTTTTGAGCATGCCTCCCGAAGAGGGACACGTCCGATTTCAGTATCGGGGGCGTCCAAGAGGGGGGGTGCAAATCATGGCCCGAGGCATGTTCGCGGCACAGTGGGGGCCAGGGAACGCATTGAAATAAGAGTGGCCGTGCAATCTGGGGAGACATCCTGGCCCTGGCCATGATACCTCCCCCCCTCGTCTTCACCCCCCTCTTGGCCGCTCCCGAAAATAGAATGCCAGCAGGACGAGGCGCCCCCGAGGTGCCCTCGGTCGCACACCTCCCGGACGACCCCTCGATGGGACGCACAGAGACATACTAAGACTGTCTGTTTTTCCTGGAGGAGCATCGTTTTTCCCGAGCGGCGTGGCCAGAACGCGCCCGCCACGACGCATATACTGTGAGATTTCTCGGTCGCCGATGTTGGTGGCCGGCTGGGTTCCCGGGTTCCCCATTCCGGTTCCTGGTGATGGGCTCCCGGCCGACTTCGGTGGGTTCTGGGTTCCCCGGTTCCCGGTCGATCTCCTTGTCGATCAGACCGTCCACTGATTGAGGTTCTTCTCTGGTGTAAGATGTTTTGGCGGTGCGCACAAAGGGGTGGAGGGAGGGGAGAGGGCTTCTTAGAAGGAGGCTGCTTCTTAGAAGGCGCCGGCCTCACATATATAGAGAAGGCCCCCGCGCCTTCTGAGAAGCAAGGGTGCTTCTCAGAAGCCCTCCCCCCTCCCTCGACGTGACCTGCGCCTCCCTGAAGTGAGCCGTGCCCCCCAGGAGCGCACGGGAGTTTATGACGGTTGCGCAGTCGGCCGCGAGGTCTCGAAGTGAGGTGCGCTGCCCCGAGCGGAGCCGTGCCTCCCGGGAGCCCACGAAAGGGGCGACGGTGGCACAGTTCGCAGCCCCCGAGGGACCGCAGTGGATGCAGGAGCCCCACCCCCCTGTCTGCGCGTGGCTGAGTGCTGGGGGGGCCGCCGACTCGACGCAGGCCCGCCCAGGGATCGCACAGGCGGGGCGCCCACGAGGCGCACGCGGCCGCCCGCGGAGGGCGGAGCCTCGGCAGAGCACATCGCCCGCTGCTTTGGGCACGGCTTCGGCCCTGCGGCAGGGTGTTCGAGCGCGGTGGAGCGGCGGGCCAGTGAGGGCAAACCCAGGCAGGAGCGCGCCGCAGAAAGATCAGGACGGGATGTGTTGGACCGTCTTCGGCCCCTGGGGGCCCTCGCTGGGCCTCGGGACCGTCAACAAACGGCTCAGGATGAAAGACCGGTCCGGGGGAAGGGGGGGTCGGGACTTCCAGGGGCCCCGGATTGAAACAAAAACAGGACGTCGTATGTCTGGGAAGAAAACGCGACACCAACACCACCAGGGCGA